AGGATTCATTCTCTAGATTGAGTATTTAAGCTCTGTAAAATCATTATACCGAGTTTTACAGTTTCTTTTTTACCTAATGAAAGGGAAATTTTCATTTTTATGGAAAAAGGCAGGATAGCCATAGTTTTGAGCGTATCACTAAGGATGAACTAAAAATAGATTTTCGCCAGGTGTGGTAGTACACACCTATAATCCCAGCACTGGGGAGGCTGAGGCAGGAGGATTGCTACCAGTTTGAGGCCATCCCGTGCTACTTTTTGAGTTCAAGGCCAGCCTGAACTACATAGAGAAACCCTGTCTCAAAAAAAACAAAAGAAAAAAAAAAAGAAAAAGATTTTTCATGAAGCAGTGATTTTTAAGACAGTTGATAGAGAAAAATTAAAGTTTGGGCTTATATCTCAAATACTAAATTTCATTTTCTTTAAAGAATATTTGAGAAAAGCTATTTGAATAGTTTTATTTGAAGATTGTAATGTAAATCTTTAGCCTGGGTATAGAGTTGAAATATTTTCTAGATTAATTATGCATATGATAGCAACATGAAAATATTGTTGCTTGTTTTATTTATGTTCTTGGTGAAGTAATGAAGACAGACTAAGGCTATAGGTGATTAGCCATGTTGTAGTGATACTAGAGTCTGCTTCCCTTGAGATCATAAATAGATCGTGGATTATGCTTTCGAATCTTACTATTAGAATAGTAAAATTTGTTTGGTCTTTATATGCCAGTAACAGAGTATAGATGGTGAAAAGCTTTTTATACTTTAAAAAAATTAACTGTTCATAAACTTTTCAGTGTCTACCTTTCATGCCCATGTTTTCTTATCACACACAATACCAGTAGCAGCTGTTGACATTGCCAAGAAGGAAGAAAAGTAATATCAAATTGAAATAAATTTTAACTGCTACTGTGTTCTTTTTAGCTTACTTTACCCAGAGCTCTTCCATCCAGTGAGCTGCAAGCGTGACATTTGCTGTGTTTTTAGCACCTGCCAACTTGGAAGCCAGGGTTTGTGCTCAGGACATAGGCTTACAACCCACACTTTGTGGTGCACAATGCCGTCCCAGCTGGCATGCATTCGTACCTCAGTGGTGCTAGACATTCAGCTACCAAGCTGGTGCAGCTTCACATGCATAGATTTCAATAGTCATTCCTCTTCAAGCTGCTTTCAACTCTTACTTTGTATCAAAGGAGTGAGACTGGTATCATTAAATTTGGGACTGTGGTTATTTTTCAATGAAAATAAATTTGTTTCATTTAGTTGTTGAATCAAAAAGTAACTTCTTCAAGAACCGAAGTGCCTTTTTAAAAATAAGTATATCATGGGTGTGTGGGTGCGTGCATGTGTGTGTGTGTGCATGTGTCATTCTAGCCAGAGCTACATACCTTACTTTCATCTGTGGATAAAAAGAACAGGAGGAGTGGTGCACCATAACCTGATTACAGTAGGTCAGGCTATTATAGCTGAGCATAGATGGTGGGACAATTACAGAATTTATTTTTCTGAATAAGATCCACACATAAAATTATCCCCATATTAGGATCATATTTTTGGCACCTAGCTACAACCAGAAACTTTCCATATTTTCTAAAGAAGTGTATCCTGCTAACTAGTTCTTTGAAAAACACTTCAGGTGGATTTGGTGATGTCTGTCTCCCCATAATCTATTATAAGCAATTTTAAAAGGTTTTGCTTGAAAAAAGATCTTTTCAGACGTAGAAAGAACAGTGTGAAATGTGAATGACTGGCTTTTAATACAACAGTTGTGACAAAGAGGCAGTGGCTTTTAGAAGCTGAATAAAGGGGTTAATACACATGCATCTGCATACTGCTGTTGGGCCTAGTGTATAACATGTTTGACATTTGTTTAGTTCACTTTGTTAGTCTACAAAGAATAGTATGTTATTCTCTCAAGCCAGTTTATAATTTTTTAGTGGTGAATTCTTAGGTACAGATAGATTTGATGGGAGAAACTGAACGTTTACTGGTTCTTGCTGAAACTTCAAAGCCTAGCTCTTTGTTGTTTGAACATCACAGTTATGATTCTAAAGGCCAAAAAAAAAGTACCCACTAACTGCCTGGGGGACACTCTGTAGTGCATATCAAAATCCAACCTTTACCCTCCTCTGCACAAGTGTGCTTAGGTAAATACTTTTATTAGCTTGTTGATACAAGTTATAGTTGGTTACACCCTTTCTTAATAAAATACACCCTTATTGTCTCCTATTGCTTAAGATCTTTAAGCTTGGAGTGGGGGAGTATCTAATACAGAATGATACACAATTTCAATCTGTCTGGCAGTTTTGAGAGGGTATATGATGCACACCATGCACACAAGCATTCCTCTATTTGGTGGTCCTCTTTTGGGGGAAGCCAAGAGAGCCAGTAGTTGTGTGCTTTATCCCTCGGTTTCATATATTGGTCTTGGAGTAAGAGACTGTAAGTAACCCCTGCATTTTATATTTTCTGGGGTGTTTTTCAAAGATAATGGAAAAAGTATAAGTGATTACTTTGAGATTATTTATGGATTTTATTCCTAAATTGGTCTGTGAATTTGTGTTTAGGTGTCTGGTTGTGCTCTAAATCTGGTTCTGATTTGGTTGACCGTTTAAGACTGAAACAAAGGTAGACAGTTTAGCTCCCCTTCCCCCCAACTGTAGCTTGCATACTTCGAAATTCAGAGTTTGCCTGGGTAATATCTACTATTGTGAATTGAGCCAAACTTTAATACAGCAATCTTTTGGGGAGGACTTTTTATAACAAAAACTATGAAATTTAGCATTCAGAAGTGAGGATACTTTATAAGACTGACTACTTCATGTGGAAGACTATGTGAGGCAGGCCTCAAAAAACATATTTTTAGCTTTTGAAGGTTCAAATTTAGAAAATGAGAACTAACTATTCATTGGTTAGTATCACAGTCCCTTAAGCAGGAATTGTAGCTCTAGACACTGTCAAGAAAACCTCAGAACCAGAAAAACAGGCTGCTTTGGGTTGAAAAAGAGGTGTTACAGCAAAGTAGCTACCCATAACTACCATCCCTGAGATTTTCAGAGACCCAAATAGCCCTAAAAGCAACAATCCTAATGGTGGCAGTAATTGTTTCCAGGCCTGGGACCCCTGCATCTTGTTTTTTAAGTTGACCCAATGAACTAGTAATTGCAGAAATAAACTGAATGTTTGCCAGCAGGAGTCACTCTAGGCCTCCTAATAAAAAGTTAGTAAATTAAACTATATCCTGAAAGCTCTCAAAGGCTGAAGGGATAGATACTGTGATTAAGATGGTTTTACAGAAACACTGATGCTTTTCCTGGAGTATAGCAGTCCTCTCACATTTTCTCTTGATTTTCCTTTGTACGTTCTTGATTGTCACTGTTTTTTAAAAAAGTAATGTATATGGGTAAGGATATCAGTATCTTAATATTCTGTATATAGCTCATTTTGGTTTCCTTGGGATGAACTGATTATATCCCACATCATGCACTTGAGATGACTGGACTCATTCTGTTGATGGTTGTCTACCCTAATCTTGCAGCAGAATCACAGGGGTGTGCTGTAGCTAGTATAAAAGGAGAGCTTAGCTCACACTCTTCTGAAAAGAATAGGTTCAGTGTGATGATAAATATTTCAGCAATACAATATGTAGTTATATTGAATTCAGTACAATATATAGAAATGTAATAGTTTCCCAAGTGCACACAAGCTCAAGAAGTTAACTGTTCATTTATGTTTGATACTGGGATTGAAACATTGGATTAAAACCAATTAAAGGTTCCTAAAAGCAACAGAAAGTTTCCTGATTTATGAATAGCACCATTCAAATGGTGCTATTACATTATCCATGTAATGAGGTGTTTTGTTTTTTTGGCAAAGGAGAATACAAAACAGGCATAGGGAATTCTTTTTTAAAAAAAGTTGTTTAAAAATCTTTTTGGATACAGGATTAGCAAAATAATATACATCAGTAGAAAGGAGTAATGGGAAATCTAGGGCTTCACTTAACAAGGAAAACAATCCCCCTCCCCCAGGTGAGCTGCACAATGAAAATACTCTGCTTATTCTATCAGGGTTACATTCCTGAACTTAAGTCAACATCCTAAGTTACAGAGCTAAACATGCTCTGCCTCTGCTTAGCAACCACAAATCCTTCCTTCGCCAGTTGCTTGTATTTTGGATGTGGCTTCTGAAGTACACATTCCTTTATTTTGATCGCGCCCGGAGTTAGGAAACCAGCGCGTTATTTTCCCAAGTGTGACAACACTTCAAGGTCCCTCCTCCCTTGCCTTTCCTGCACGCCACTGAAATGATCATTTCTTTCAAACCTCAACGCCTAACAACCCGGAAGCTGGACGTTCGAAGCCCACGCGGCCAAGGGCTTTCGTCCTGGCTTGTTCGAGGGGCAGGGAGAGAAGTCCGTGGGGGTCTTGGCCAGGGTCCCGGGCAGCCGCGGTGGCGGCGCGGCTCGGGCCCGGGGCCACTTCCCGCGTCCCGGGGCCTCGCAGGCGCGAGCTCG